GGCCGCAATAAGTGAAGTGTGATATGTGGAGGGATGACTGTACTTTTAATTAGATGATAAAGCTCAAACCCTTATCGTCTTTATCTTACAATTATTTGATTTATTAATATATATATATATTAAGCATACTCTTGAATGTTGTGCTGTGTTACGTGTGTTGGTATAAGTATACTTATCTTAAAATATATCTGTTCTGGGATATTTCAAGTTTATAAATAGGGAATTATGTAATGAACCTTTCCTACAAGCCAACCCTCTCACAGGCATTTTGAAGCAAGTTCCACACATATCCATTGTAAATGTTTTAGTGTATATCTCAGGAAGTTAAAGAGTCTCCTTTTAAAACGTTGCTGTTGTCATCCCACTTTCCTAAAAAAGAAATCCGCAGTAATTTATTAAATACCATCAAATAGCCAGTCTATATTTACGTTTCTATTGTTTTCTAACTTAAAAAAAAAACAACTCTATAATGTGGTTTTTTCCCTTTGACTTTTTTGGCTGAAGATACTGTTTTTTGTTGTTTTTCAGAGTTTCCCACCATTTGGACTTTGCTGGTTGCATCCCCATTCTGTCATTCAGCCTATTCCCTGATTCTCACGTGAATTATATATTTTTGTGAAATAAGTTGCTTCAAAGCAGAGTATTGCATGCTCAAGGCCCTGGATTCAGTCTCCAGCACCAAAAACCAAACAAAAAACAGCGCACTTGACCCAGAACCCGTCGGAGTAGAACAGCGATTAGCATCACCTCGCTGTTTCTGTGTCAGGACTGCCAGAGTGGCCTGGCTGAGCGACCACAGCTGAGGGTCTCTCCTGAGGTCGCATTCAAACTGCAGCTGGGTTTGTAGTGGCCCGAGGGCTTCCTTGGCTGAAACAGCCCCCAAGACGGCCACTCAGGTGGCGGTGGGGTGACACCCCTGCTCTCCTCTGTGGCCTCTTCCTGCAGCTACTGCGCCTCTTCACAGCACATCAGCTGGCCTGTCCCAGCGCGCTGATCTTAGAGGCGGAGCGAAGCCAGTGCCATGGTGTCTTTCATGTTCTTGGAAATCCCGTCATTTCCAGTCCACTGCACGTTGCAAGCTAGTCACACAATGGAGCCTGTGCTCAAAGGGAAAGGAGCTAGGTAGGTTCCCAATTTTTGCAGGAAAGAGCAGCAAATAATTTGTGGACATCATTTTAAGCTACTGCACATTGATTCCCTGTAAACTGATAGCCAGATGTAGACAAGAAACTACTGTTTTCAGGGTTCCATGCCAAATGGAAATGTGGAAGTCCTTGTTCAGATTTTAGGATGGGGACAGCAGAATGTTGAACCAACACAAGACCCGTGTGAGCCTTTGTGCTCGGAGCTGTATGTGACTGCACAGATTACCCCCGTGAGACCAGCCCTGGATGCAGAGGTTGACAGATCTGAGCTCCACACCCCTCTGTCCTTTCCCTTGT